GCGCGGCTTGACATCAGGGCTCGTGGCTTTTGGACGCGGCACCAGGAGGCCTTCTTCGATATCCGGGTAATGCATCCCAGGGCCACCTTGCTGTCTCGTGCCAAAGACTTTAAGCCTTGAGCCAATTGGAGCGCAATGAGCGGGAAAAGAAACGGCACTATGCAGAGCGAGTCAATCAGATTGACCGAGGCACATTCACTCCTCTGGTTTTTGCGACCAACGGCATGATAGGCAAGGAGTGTTCAATGTTCCTGAAGTCATTGGTTGGCCTTATTGTGGAGAAGAATGTTAATTGATTTGGTGTATTCTGTTGTCGTCAATCATTTGCGATGCCGTTCGTCATTCTGGGTGTATCACTTGTTTACGTGGTTCTAGGTCCCCGTATTGCTCTAAGCGCTCGGCAAGCTTTGTAAACGATTGCCGTATGCTCTCAAGGGCATAGTTTTTTTTCTTTTTATCAATTTTGTATTATGGTGAAAATGTTATCAAAAGTTTGTTTCCTGGCGTCCTGAAGGTTTTTTCTTTTTTGTATAAGGCCACGCCGTTTTTTTTCCATGTTTCGCGTCACCTTATTCGATGAAATCAATGAGGGAGGGCGAAAAAAATAAAAAAGCCATCCAAAAAAACAGTGTACGTGCATTGCATTTGTGTACAGTGAAGCGACTTACATGTATGTACAGACATGTACAATGTACATGTACATGAATACATGAGTGTATCCCCTCTGCCATGCTTGTGGTCCAAACACAGGCGGCATGATGATTGTGTGACTTGCGGTCCAGCTTATTGCACACACATGTACAATGTACCAGGTACATGTGTGTGAGCTGAGTTACATTTTCCGGTTTTCTGGGTTTGCATTTTGTATTGCTTTTTCAAAAAGAAAATTTTTTTGTTCCGTTTTTTTTACAAGTTATCAAGTTACAAGTTAGTTTTGTGCTACAAGTAATTGTTACACATTTTTGACTCGACAGTATTCTGCTTATAATATAACCGTTAGTGTTGGACAAAACGGATAACTTGTAAACTTTGGTCCTCTTTTTAAATCTTAATTCTATTGTTTCCTTTTCTGGCAGTGTTCAAGGAGTGTGGTTTGGAGGTTTTTTCTTCTTCTTTTCTTTCCCCTTTTTCATAAACATTGCTGTTGCCATTCACATTTATATCCTTTAATTTTGCTGTTTAACTTTTGTTCATTTCTTGAATTCTTTGCTCTCCTTGCATTCATATCATCATTGCTTGTGCGTTCAATAAAACACCTTTTAGCACTAAATGCGCACTAAATTTTGGACGCTCGAGCACTATACCGGAAATTCCGAGCACTGTTTTGTGGAGGCGGGTTACTGTTAGGAAAACATTGTGGTCATTGGCTGTTCTGCCTGCCTCACTGCCAGACTGGCCCAAATGCTAAGTAAAATTAAGTTCTGCTCCACCCGGCCCTACGATAAGAAGCATTTCCCGTGTTCTCTTCCTAGCTCAGTGTTCAGCCTTTGTGACCCTAAAAATTTGGACTTTTACTAGTTTTGCGCATTCAAAACACACACACCATTCGCACACGGTGGAAGCATCGGTAGTGCTACAATACAATCGCTGCAATGCCATGTATACCGCAAACCTACTTCCATGGCAAACACACAGGCATTTCCCCTTTCGAACTGAACAAGTATCTTCTTCAAGTTGAAGTAGACCAACTACATCCCTGATGATGCCCTCCTGGGTGAAACATTGCAAACAATCGCTGTATGTGGTATAGCCAAGGACTGCTCATCACGGTGTTGCGGATGGGAAGTGAAGTGAAAGGAGGACAAGGCTTCAATGGAACATCAAAGTTCTTTGACCAACTAAATCCAAAACTTATTCTCCCATCAAGCTGGGCTGCTTTTTCCCCTTTTTTCTTACTCACTCCATCCTGTCTCAGCTGTCCAATTCAGCGACGATTGTAAGTGCATTCTCTGTTGTGGGACGTGTGATTTTTGACGAATCTTGAACGAGAACTATGATTTTCTGCTAGTCCCGACATCCATATATCTACAGTATCAACCTATTCTCTTCCCATTAAAAGCGTGTTTGCTCTTCTTTTTTTTCCAGGTAGCTCATTTCCCCGACAGTTTACATTGAATTTGAAGCTATCCCAATCCTTTCAAAAGTAAGATTGTCAATATAATTATACCGATACCCACTCGCTCAGAAGAGGAGCTCGGTTGGCCTTTCATCTGCAGAGTCAGATGCATTTCCTGCACTTTAAAAGGGGGTCTCGCGGTTTGCACTTTTCGTACCGTTTCAAGTTGCCAAACTACAGACAAATACATGTGAGTATGTCCCGAGAGAATATCCTTTCTCACCGGGTCTATCATGGTGTCATACGCTGCAGAGAACTACTAGTAACGAACTTTTTCGTCTATAGTACGGAGGATTAGCAAGACGAAATTCGCGTTCGCGTTCGCAAACATTTTTCAGTTCGCGAACTGGATTGCGAACTTTCGCATTTTTCGTTCGGAAAAGTAGTCGGAACACGAATCGCGGATTCGTGTCAGGACAGTCATACATTTACTACGCTGTACTGTCTGTACACAATGGACGACGTGTCAAAATCATGCATGTGCGAATTCTGTTTGCTAATCCTTCTCATAACGCGAATTCCGTCACTGAGTTCGACTTTCCTTGGAGAGCGAACGCGAACGTGAATTTCGTCTTGCTAATCCTCCGTAGTAACGAACTTGCAGTTTCCAACAGAAAACGTCATAATTATTTCATAAAGGATTTTTTTTAGACAAACGGCCATTGAAATGTATTACCCGAAAGCACAATACAAAGGGGACGACACAAATGAACAAGATGCTCACTCATCTATATTGCAACTGACCTGAAACACCATTCCGTCACCGAAGATGTTCGGCCGACGAACGGCTGCACGACTTCCGGGCGCCTTGAGGAGAAGCGCAAATGTGCACGCCGTAAAGCGACCAACCACAAGCTTGCTCGTTGTGGCAGTGAAGGAAGCCGGTACAATAATCTGGATGCAGCCCGAGACTGGCCGGCATTTTCACGGTAAAGCACACGCCGCTACAATGTCGCTGAAGGTTTGGAAAGCCAGCAGAGACGCCGAGGCCCGAAATCAGTCACAAGACCCGCCGGTGTAGAAATAACGGAGAATGCTGGCGGCCTTCAACTTCTGTAGGTCTGTCATGAGTGCCCTCTGCCACTGAAACAAATTCTCTTCCTTGGAGACTACATAAACTTACTTCGAAGACGAAAAACAGGAGCAACTGAATCACACTTTGAACAAAATAGCTTCGAGTATGGGGCAGTGGCTGCATGTAAATATCAGGTGATTTGGATGAACTGTGGCGTGTCTTGTGCTAAGTAAGTTCACACCTTCATACGGGTAAGGTAGTTTCTTCTCCCGCGCGCGTGCTTGCCACGGAGCTGTCAAGTGTCAAGAACCGCGGAAGTGTGTTGTTTGTCACATTCGCCTTGGCCTTGGCTTGGGCTCAGTTGATTGTAACATTTTTTAAATTGTAATGAAAATGAAGGCTGAGACAGTGAGAGCAGTGAGAGTAGATGGTAGAAAATAATTATACTGGGGTCCGATCCGTGGGGCGACAAGGAGAAGGACAGAATTAGTTCTACATCAGGCACAGGTCACGACACTATCGATACTGTTGTCATGGCACTTGGCCGGCCACAGGGCTAAGCTAGGCGCCGGTGATGATTGATTGATTGATTTTATTTTTACTTCGCAAGTTCAAACGGGTTCCTGGCCCAGTTATATGAAAGCGAAGGATAGAATTTGCCAAAATCCTAATGAGCAACAGCATAGGCAATATTATCATAGAAGTGGAGTACTATGCGAGCGAGAATACTGAGAAGAAAAGGAACATGTCAAAACCTGACGAAACACAACCTATTCCAGGCATACATAAGGAAGGCAGGCTAGCATGCAATCTAGATACGGTGCGCATCTCTCTAGGCAAACTGTTCCACAGCAATGCTCCTGCGGTGGCGAATCTCGTTTGGCCACACCGACTGCGAGCTGGCTGAGCACTGACGGACCATTGGCATGCTGATGGCGCGTACTTCTGCCGCTGCATGCTGCTGGTTTGAGAAGCTGGGCTAGAGCAAGGCCAGCGGAGTCATTTAGACACCGCCAGATGAAGATCAGGAGCTTTTGTTTAAAAAGTTCAGTGACGCGGTAAATCGAGTTGGCAGCCAGGAGGGGCTGCATCGCGGAACATGGCGGGCTGCCATCAATGCATCGGATCGCCCGGTTTTGCATGGCTTGCAGACGCTGAAGTTGGGTCACGCGGAGGGCTGCAGAGAAGCAGCAGGCACCATATATCATATCCGGCATGACAATAGCCTTATATCTTGCGCGAGCTGCGGGAGAGGCATCGACGGGCTCGCCACAAGGCGCCAATCTTCCTCGCAGCTTTGGTCAGGCGGTTGTCAAGAAAGACACCAAGATACCGCGCAGACTTCACTATCGGTAGAGAGGTATCGCAGCACACGATAGAGACCTCAGGCCCGGCATGTTGCGGTGAGATAGTCATTACCTGGCTTTTGGAGGCATTTAAAATTAGGCCGCGTGACAGCTGAAGAGATGGACTTGGAGACTTTCCCAACGCAAGCTTTTGAATCATACAGGGCAATGTCGTCTGCGAATTGCACGCTGGGTATTGGCGATGAGACCGATTTCACATCACGGGTGTAGGTGATGGTTTTCCGGAGCTCAGGTGACCATGGTGACCCGAATCGCCAATCACCGTGTAGACCATGGTGTACTAACGGAACGTCGTTTACCGGGCTAAAACTAGTAAAAGTAATAGGCGTTCAAGGCTTTGGTTGGAGAACAGTGTCGGCATAAAAACCAGATGTTGGTAGACTAGGGCACCCGGTCTCCAGCCGGCTGGGATGCTCCATGCATTTGGCCCTTTCCCAAAGATGCCATAATTTTTCGCAACTTATGCTTTTCACAACCGTGACAAAACAAGTGCAAGTTGCTGAAATCGAATCCATATTAATTTTTCAGAAAACGCTCAAAAGTTGCTGATATCGCAACTTAAAATTGGAGAGTTCTTGTGCAAAACCACCAAAAAAAGAGCAGAAATAGCAGAAGTGCAGCGACAGCAAACTCGTACACCTTACACAGTGCCGGGCCTGCCGGTATAGCCTGTTGCATGTATCCTACATCATTCCAGTGCACGGAAAAGGGAATGCACATTATCGTAACTACGGCTGATCTATTGTTTCTCTGAAATGAGTCCTACTTCGAAGCACATACCGTAAGTCCGTAACATGCACATGGACACAGAGTACACATCCAACATAATCATGATAATCGTGGACTTTTAAAATCACTGGCGTCACTGCTGTCTGATGATCTCTAAGCGTGACGGGAGTAACCATGGTGGCAGCAACAACGCTTTGTTTCCCTTCTCTATATCAACCTGTACATACATGTCATGTACATGCAGAGTTTGGAGTGCGAAAATTGAGATTTTGGCACTCAATGAATTGCCTCGCCACGATAATGCCTAATGACTCGTAATGAGCCCTCAAACTAATGAATAGAATAGAACCTCATCAATCTCAAGTCTTTTCACGAATGAACAAAACGTCAATCATGCTTATAGCCTACCGGTATGTAACTTAAGGAAGAGATTCGAAGAGATTCGGAGAGAGAGAGAGAGAGAGAGAGAGAGAGAGAGAGAGAGAGAGAGAGAGAGAGAGAGAGAGAGAGAGAGAGAGAGAGAGAGAGAGAGAGGAGAGAGAAGAGAGGCGCACAGGCGTGTGCATGTGTTCGTGTGGTGCGTGAGAAAAATCAGCGTCAAAAATCAATACGTTGGCTACATGCAATGTAGGCATTGCAAGCTATGAGCGATTGAAAGCTAAGGCAATGTACCTGCTGCTGGTGGTGGGTGCCTGTAGATCAGCGAGTATGGCATGATTGGTATCCTGGTACTACTGGTACTACTGGTTGCTAATGTCAACGAATCATAATGACTGGTATGAGCTCATTTCTAAACGGAAATAATTCACTCAAGTATGCTCTGATCTTCACACTCCTACTTCAGTACTAGCAGCGGGTTCTAGGAGCAATGATCACTGACAATAATAGAGCTGCATGAGCTAGACTAATACACCGTGGCATTGTGATCACAATTGCTACTATCACAGTATCAACACTAATACCGTCCGGATTCTGTCTAGCAGTCATCTAACTTCTACATGTAAGTATCACTTCCGCTTGCTGGCATTTATACTGCATATTTGAGTTCGCAGTGCAGCCTTTGAGTAGCTCAAACATTCCACAGTGGATACGCAAACACGTCACAACAGACTGTGAGGACTATGTCACAGTATGTGCGTCAGTATTAGTATTAGTACGTGTGGTGTAAGGATGACCACAACCCGGTGCCAGGCCACCAAGTGTCTCGTCTAGTGATAGCCACGTGACTAGCATACACTTCACACACTGTACACACTGGACACATACTGCCATACAGTGACCCGAGCCTTCATAGACATACGTGGTGTGTCCAGTAGAGTAGGAGGTACACCGCTCCGCCACGGCCATGCTCACTGGCCTGGTCCACTGGTACTACTGGCACTGGTCTTGGCTGAGTGTGCTAGTAGTCCAGGGTCGGTGAACGGGGGATGGGTCGGATATGGTATATCTTGTACTGCTTCGTTGCACGTAGCGGACGGCACGGAGAACAGGATGTATTGCTTGATTCTATTGCTAGGAGAAGACTCTTGAAAAGTATATCTGAGCGATTCATCACCTGCAGGCAATCTGCAGCATCCCTGAAGATCATCTCGATTTTCCCAACCAGGTCTAAAGGAGAACGAGCCATTTCTATGATGTGTGAATCTGGAATCAATGCAGAAACTCACGTTGAAATGCGAGAATTGTCGACCCAGCGTTCGTGAGTAGAATAGTGTTGTCGGCCGGTCGGGGTCCACCGGCACAGAGACATTGACCAGCCGACACCTGCACTCCGCCATGGGTATCCGGGACCGCACATATCCGCTCAGCAGTTGCGGGGTGAATAGCTCCTCTGGACGCGGCACGGCGGGGCTGTCCGTTGGGACGTCATTCTCCGCTAAGGCCGTGGTCGTGGGTGTTTTGACATGAACTGGGGTATTGGCAATGCATTGATCTGACGTTAGGTTCAGCAATGGTCTGGAACTGCACAACTCGCAGATGGTCCAGCCGTCAAACCTGAAGACGGGAGAATTGCGCGGGAATAGCTGAAATGCTGTGTCGCTCTGCAGCCAGTTTCGCTGCTTCTCATCACACAGCTCCTTAGTGTACAGCGGGTGCGACTCATCACACGCATAGGGAATACGCCTTGCTGCCTTGCAAGCGCTGAAGGAGTCGTGGATGGAAGTGAGCTCCTTGCTGGTGCAGTTCTCACACGTAATTCGAATGGTAAGATGCTCTGTGCTGTTACTGCCATGGTGGCAGTGAGGCAGAGAAGCAGTGCGAAGCGAAATGTTGGCTGTAAACTTCTCTTGTTGACTGAGAGCTCCGAAGAACGCTTGGTAGACAGGCTCATCATTGCTCAGCTGGCGGTGGTGATGATTGGGGCCAATTTGAGCCTGTACTCTCCAGAAGGACTCTCCTTGTGCTCCTGGATCTGCGTCCTTGAGCAGCCGTAAGTCCACCCAGGCATTGGCGTCACGTGTCTCGTTCAATGGCAGGGACAATGTTATACTAGCACACGTCACGTTTAAGCCTCTTTCGCTGATCATGTGATCATCTAGACACAGACAAAGACACAGACAAAGAGAGAGAGAGAGAGAGAGAGAGAGAGAGAGAGAGAGAGAGAGAGAGAGAGAGAGAGAGAGAGAGAGAGAGAGAGAGAGAGAGAGACAGAGAGAGAGAGAGACAGAGAGAGAGAGAGACAGAGACAGAGAGACAGAGAGAGAGAGAGAGAGAGACAGAGAGAGAGAGAGAGAGAGAGAGAGAGAGAGAGAGAGAGAGAGAGAGAGAGAGAGAGAGAGAGAGAGAGAGAGAGAGAGAGAGAGAGAGAGAGAGAGAGAGAGAGAGAGAGAGAGAGAGAGAGAGAGAGAGAGAGAGAGAGAGAGAGAGAGAGAGAGAGAGAGAGAGAGAGAGAGAGAGAGACAGAGACAGAGACAGAGAGAGAAGATGAAGAGGCAGGTTAGCATAAAGCAGATGTAATCTCAACGAACACACATGTGCACAGCCGGTCAACCATACTAGTAATTTCCAAGCAATATTCGTCTGATCATACGTCTAGTATACGCAAGGTGCTATTCTCCAAGTAACAAGATAGAATTTAAAGGTACGGTCACTGTAAAGATTGTACAACAGTGAAGTAGCCGCGGTGGAGAAGAAAGCCTTCCAGGAGGTCGCTTACCATCTTGACGATCCACGCTCCTTTTGCTACCCTGCCGGCTTCGTGAGTGTGGCTTGGCCGATGCAGGAACAGAACAGACGAGAACAAGAAGAATGAGCATCCATGTGCCGGTATGGACTGGCATGGTTGAGAGAAGGCTCTTGGAAATTTGAACTTAGTCCTTGGTCTTCGTCAGTCGCCCCCGCAGCTGGCCGAGGCAGGGAGATCGGGGGAAGAGTGTGGGTAACGATCGAGGGACGATGTCGTTTCACGTCAGACAGGGGCGAGTAGCATATGGTAAGCCAGGTGGTGAGGCAGACGGGAATGACGGCTTTCAATGTGTTCTGTACTGCGGTGGTAGGATTGGCCGGCGTCTATCAGTCCGACATGGGCGTTCTGTCTAGGCTAGCTCCCCCAACGGTACCACAACGTCAATACTGCAAACATCAGCAGGGGATGAATGCAGCAATCTGAGCAGGGAACGAGCTTGTAGGCACCCTTGCACACCGCACAGTACTGAACAAGAACTGCTCCGACGAAAGGAGAAATCCTATAACAGGTGCGATATGCATGGATAACCGTCATTTTCGTGTCAGACAAGATGAGCCAGACCAGCGTTAGGAGGCTAATGCAAAGCACCTGACGGTTTACAGTGGTACGATATGCGTTCACCAATAGACCTATGTTAGACTTTGTCTAATCCTTGACAAGAACACGCCAGTGTTATCGAACGGGGGAATGGCCAATGCGTCTACTGCTTGGAACGTCGCCACGTGACGGATACTCGCGACTCCAGCAGCTCAGCAAAGCACGACATGTGTTCAGTCACGATCACGTCGTTAGTGGTTTTGGTGGAACAATGACAGACCGTACTGGCCGGCCTCCAATAGTCCGCTGCAGGTGGCTTCCGCGTGTGATAAAGTCACATCATGATGAATGATAGTACCGGTAGTAGCTGAACGATGTAGTAAAGGGAAGCTTCACGTGACGATGGTGTGTCCGTGATCATATTGAGAGCAGTTAACATTGTGCTGGCAACATAGTGTATCATTGAAGACCATTTACATGTGGCTCCGACGACGAATGGTCCACATTTGCTGCCAGTGGCTGTGCATGATTTCACTCCCACAATGGAGGTAGAGAGAAGAACTCCCAGACTAAATTAGATGTCTACACGCTGCACGGATTTCAGGGTACCGCCAGAACCTGATACCTGGCACGAGTGCATACAGCGGCAGGTTCATGATCGTCAACGAAGTCCGCCGAGATGCCTTTGCAATACTGCTCGTGAACCTTGCTCGGAGTTCTTGGAAATGCTTCGGCGCTATCACTTCCAAGACTAAGGTACCCTTACATGTCTTGCATGCCAGAGTTCTTCTCAACACGTGTGTTAGCTTCAGCTTCCCACGGTCATTTCTCCATCTTGATGACCATATGCATCTGCGTGTAAGCCGCTAGCCGTTTCATGGCGTCACACATGACAACAGAGGGAGATAAGCTGTGGGTGCTTTGTTCCTTAGGTGCATGGGTGGAAATCAAACCAAAAACTGATATGCTGTCAGTGCTCTAACCATGCTAACATGACCTGCAGCATGAAGCAGCGAGCGTGTGAAATGTTCGCAATCGCCCGACGGCATGGCACGAACCTTCGGGGCACAACAGAAGAAGGAAATCCTAATGTCATTACTTTGCGTTCGAATACAAACACGAACACGAGGCATGATACTGTCGCATACATAACTATAAGGGCCTGGGGCTTGGAAGCGATCGAATTGTCATTTTCCCCGCGGCCTGCTTTAGTTGAACATCAAAAAGCAGCATCACCAGTATTTGATGTCAGTATTGCGTCTACCACGAACTCGTGTATGTAATCGTGCTGCATACCAGTCCAATTTCCTGAGAAGTTTTAGTTGCCGATTTCAACGGTAACCCATTTCGCTTGGGTAATTAGCCGCAAACATAGCTTTTCACTGAATCGCCTTGCAGTTGTAAGTCATTAGGTTAGAGCCCGGCCTCGGTGTGGAAGTAAGTCCGCTCAAGGTTGGTGATGTCTAGGTTTGATCTAGTTGTCGTTTTTGTAGTGCAGTGTATGTGGCACTGCACTGCTCACTGCTCAAGGAACATGAAGACCACACTGAGCTGTGAGCACAAACCGGATTTACCACTTGGATCATCCCGTCGTCGCTCTGACTCTCTGAGTCCGCTGCCACATGCCATGGCATTGCATCGCTCGGCTCGGCTCGAATATGTCCAGTGCTCGAATATGTCCAGTGGCATCCCGCCGCCTTCAGTGCAATGAACGGCACCAGTGTATTGCACGACAGCTGTATGTATGTACTGATATACGGTATACTCAGTAATAGCCGCAGAGGCTTAGCGCCCAGCATATTTAAAGTTGTTACGTGACCAGGACACGTATCTACCCTTACCCGCTCAGGTGCTGATGATGTAACATTGTTACTCGATGGGATGACACGAACTCAACACCTGTGATACCATACAAACCGCAGCTTCATCAACGAGGCTAAAGACAAGAAATCGTGCGGCCAATGCCAGGGACCTGACTGGTGAATACCAGTACTGTGTATGCATTTGTACAATGTATCCACTCTTAATAACGTTACAACGCTCCCTCTGGATGGGGTTCATGAAATGTTCGAGAAGCCCATGATACGGCCATGCTATATTAACGTTAGTGCACCCTGAGTAGCTGGCATCACCTTCAAATGAAGAAACCCAGACCAGGCTTCGAGCCTAGAATGTTGCATTGCAGTTCACTCAGCATTCAGCTGCTTCAACACATCAGTATTCCTGGAAAGGCATGTGCCTGAGTCTCTGCAAGCATGCATGGACTGTTATGGTGTATGCATATCTGCCATATCGACCTAAGTAGCCGCTTCATGGACAAAGATACAATAGCATGCACACTGTTCTGTACCAACTCAGGACGGCAGCCACCCCTCTAAACCGGTCATTGGCTGCACGTGGGGTCTTCAACCACTACTAGTATATTCCACCACACGCATACGCACGCACGCACTCCCCTTAGAACCTTTGACTATATACACCCATCATGGGAGACGGTGATAACAATGCTACAGCAGACGCCAGAGCAACTTGTGCTGTAACTACACCGCTCGACAGCTTGCAATGGCGATGAGTCGACCGTCTCCAGTGTGTGGCCTGGGTCATACCACATCGATGTTTGAAGTGGATTTTTACACTACCAGTACCACACATGCGCACACACATACGAACGCACACACACACACACACACACACACACACACACACACACACACACACACACACGCAGTCGGTCCATCCTTGCCACGTTCCAAAGCAGGACACCTGTATAAAATGTATACAAAGGCAATTGTCTCCCATGTAAATTGTACACAAATGTTTTGGTCCAAAGCAGGACTGTCCTGCTCAAAGCAGTATGGTTGGACAGCCTGCACGCGGATTCTAGGAACACGTGGGTACGTAACACTCGCGTGTCGATCATATTGCTCATTCCCCACGGGGTCTTTACCTCTCTCCTGCTGGTGATAGTCGTGCTGGGTATTCAAGTGAACGGGACAGAGGAGAATGTCAAGAACAATTGAAATTGCCACCATTGACATCTGTGCTCGGTGGGAAGAGCTAGAGGAGGGGTGGCGATTGTTACAGTTTATTGACATTCACCTCACAGCTGCCGTGATCGTGAATGCAATGACGCAAGAGTGACATATGCACATCTAGATAGTATTACTATTATGTTCATGCCTGCACACTATCACCATTGCTAGTATCGGCAATGCGAATTCTGAAGACATTGTCCCAACAATTGTAGGTCAGCTGTCAGGAGTGGCTCCTGCACTTCACGATATCTCACTCTTGGCGGTTTCTGGTATTCGATCCCATCTAGTATCATGAACAATTATTATATCATGATGTACACAGACTTGAGTATATCATGGTGTAGAAGTCTAGCGTAAATCGTACATCAACACCTGATCTGAATCAAACTTCATTTTGTGGTTGCTTGCTTCAAGTTTTCACTCTATTCCCATTGACAAGCTAACTTAGCGTATGCGCGCTCTCTCCTTTCGCCAAATCACCAGGGTGTTCCCATTGTAACACTGCCACTGGTCCACGGCGTTGGCTGCTCGTTGTCTAGGAGTTGATTGACGCTCTCGTCTAGAAGATGAGTCCTCTCACTCTCACGCCTTCCTCCTGACCTGTGGACCTATCAGACGTTAATGGTCATATGTGTTACTTTATGGCCGAGGGGGCTACCAGTGCGAGCCTGTCAGTGTCGCAATCTATAGCCATTATGGGCCCAATTACTAGCACGGCAGGTGCAGTAAGTAAGACCCGTGTGGTTTGTTGGTCGGGTGATGTTCGTATTTCCCATATTAGTGCACTACTGCTGTAGAGGTTTTCCACGTAAGGGCTACATTGTACTTGTAGGCAACTGGAAGGGCATGGGAGTTTGTGCAAAAAGTGGTCATGGTAGTCTACGTGGTCACTGCCTGGTACATGGTGGCTGGTGGCCAGCTGTTCTGCACGTACACTGATGTCGTGATGATGTACAGCTGTTCTGCACGTACACTGATCTGATGATGTACAGCCATACATGTATGGCCATGTCGACACGCCATACCCTGAACACGCCTGGCCGGCCGACAGTTTGCTTAGACCAAGAATACTATTTTTACTCTTGCTCAGAGCGGAGAAATACCACACATCACAGCTTGATCGTGCAGGTATATGACCGTACACGTGTGGCCTCGCCCGATTTACTAACATTTCTGCCTTCTCATCCCGCCATGAGGCCAGACTCTCCATACCAGATCCATCAGGAGTTGTGTAGAGGCTTAGCATTGTGCTGTTTGGGTATTTTACTGTGTTCTATATCGTGAATCGACTGAGAAGGCAAGCCGCAAAGCGCAATGGTCCTGAGCTTGGGGAGTAAGTTTACGGTGCACACGTACATCGTCACTCAAACAGATAATCCTGCCCAATAACATGACGAGGGTGTGAAGGGAAGAAAAAGCACAGATCATCAGGATGAGCGTAAAATAGCAGTGCATGAGGCTACTTCAAGGAGTTGAAAACAACAGAGACCAATGATTACTGCGAACGGATTCCGGTACGTAGGCATTTTGGTGACTCTAGAAGCGAAACAACCCTCTATTGGTAGATTGCCTAGAGTTTCTCCTTGGGTCCTTGGGTCCTTGGGTCCTTAGGAATGAGATCTATACTGATAAGTAAGCCATGAATCTCGTTCATCTTCAAGATCCGCTTGAATTGGGATGCGCCTCTGGTAGGGCTGGGTTTTACGGCTGGTCGCAGGCTGAGCACTGTGGGCAGTAGTGGCTACTATGAGTAATCGGTGGTGTAGTTAGGGTCCGGAAACACTGCGCATGGTTCTGCCACTAGCGTGAGAACTGCGATAGACTAATACTAAGAGGATGTTCGAACATGCCCAACATTTCTTCCCTCACCTCTCATCCAACAAAAGTCTTCCCCTGTCACCAATCCATACACGAAGAAACAAGAGCGACTGTGATGTGCCCACGGCCAGTGATGGATGTATCACGCACACGTCTCGTTTTTCCCTTGATGACGGTCTGCCGATGATGGTCCACGAGGTGGGTCTGCCGACAAAACAGCTGCAACGCCTTGCCGCCCCGATTAAACGTGAGCACTCCATCGCCTGTTCTGTGGCTTGGTGTCAGTTTGCGAATGATTTGGTCCAAGCTGATAACACAACAGAGGAACATCACGTAGCTAAACTCATCACAAACCGAAGTCGATTTGATGCAGATGCCTCGACATCACTCATCAGTCGGGCCAGCTAGCAGACGACCAACCGGCACTGACTGTTGCATTTCGGACTCCAATGCCATGCCCCATGTCTGGTGCCACAAGCATCTCTATCATCCTGCAAGTGCGAAACAACAGTGTGCATTCAAATGCTTTGCCTAACACCCTCCAGGCCATCGGTCCCGCTGGCGCAGGCCCCTTCGGGGCTGCAGTGTGTAGTGTGCAGATAGAAAGGGTGATGGTTAGATGTGCTGAAGTACTAGTGAAATACTAGTAAGTAGTATTTGAAATGAGAACACTACTCACTAGGCTTGGGCGTTGTTATTTGAGCGGAGGGCTGCTGCTGGAATGGGAAGCACCGTCAATTATTATCTGTTCCTCAACCCAACTTCCCAAGCCACGTTGATCTTCCATCTTGCTTTGCTCTGTTTCAAGACCGACTGCATACCTTAAAAGGCTTCATGGTGGGCTTGCTTTTCCAAGCGCATGTTGCTCAGGTATAGAAGTAGTTATGTGGATGGAATCATGGCATACCGGTATGCATGGTATAATGACTATGTACAATCGGTTCTTGTTATACCACATAATAGTCCCTAATTCTTTAGGCTGGTTAGTTGTCAAGATTTCAACCGCATGTACATAATTATACATGTCGTGTTCAGAATCCTGACATCGTATAGTGACATCTTCCTGCGCCACGCTCAGCTACTGTGCCAGCGACTCCGCACATTCCGCATAGACATGCACATGATTGTATGTTGGCTCTTGTACTACTACTACTACTACTACTAATACTTCCCTAGCCCCTGAACCACAGAAGTGCTTGCATACGATCACGAGGCCCGAGGGAAGAGCGCAGTCTGAAGACTAACGACAAGTACGTGACAATGGCGCTACTCAGAGCACCATCCAGGCATCCTCCCATTGCCATGCCGTCGACGTCCGACTCACGTGGTGCGTGATCTGGCGATGGCCAACCACCGGTTCTCCTGGAGTCCTGTCCTAACCTAGCCTGAAGCAACTGACGACACATGCCATGGTCCGTGGCGTTGGTCGTCTTGCATGCAAACCGCTCATCGATGCATCGTACATCAGGTACACGGTCCATAGCAGGGAGTCATAATTTACCGAATCCCTTGCACATCATGGTGTATCGCTCACTTTATGAATATGCTATCACAGTGCCCAGTGGCAGTGGCATAGGCAAAGGTAATACAATGTACATGTACATGTATACCGGTACAACACTACTTACTGTTTTCTGATGATCGCTTAGTATAATAGTGCGTGAAACTCAGAGTTAAGTTAAAACACTTTGTTCCGTCCTCTTATTGTTTGTATACCGGTGCACGAAGTGGAACCTGCCACTGCCAGGACGTGTTGTGTGTTGTGATCCAGCTGTACTGCTGTATGTGTATTGCGACACGCTAGTACATGTACATTGCACTAACTGCTCAGTTTCTACTCCATTGGCGTTGGCAATGGCCAATGCTGATGTGCCAACTTAGTACTAATGTGTTACTTACTTAATTTTCTTACACATCAAGTCATCAGTGCTTGTAAGAGCACTGCCCACACTGTCAGTGTGATTGCGCCATTCTGTCAATGATGATCCCGTTGACATGCTGAAGGTGCTGGTTGGAGTTGTCAGTTGTCCTACTTGAACACCATTGGCCATTAGTGATAGTGCTACCAGTTGGATACGATCACTGACCTACATATCGGCAGGTGTCTAAGCCCGACGGCGGCCTCAGTCTTTCTTGTGGAGTACTGAGTAGCAGTACTAGGTTAGTATGTATCAGTTGGGACATGACTTTGTCACGTAGATGGGTAGACTTCACTGGTGCAGGATGGGCATAGCTACAGCAACAGCTGTACCGTACAATACTTGACCGTGGCACACTACTGAGAATGCAGTAGTATGGATCTCCACACCAGCGAAAGTGTGCCATTCTTTTTTAACCTACTCTAGTACTTACGATGTAGTTGTGTGTACGTTAATTCGAAGTACATGTACAATGTCATGTAAAAGAAAGGACCAACATGATACATGACGTTATCCGTAGTTTGTGTCCAACACTACCAACAATCAAACACTACCAACACTACTGTAGTATCCCGGCCTTGCTAGTACTGAACTGTAGCTGACTACTACATCTACATCTATTTTTACCTCTAATCATGTCACATGTGCACGTACACGCACTGCATGACTCTTGTCACTCCTTTGCTGACAAGCCTGCAAAGCTAATTATAATCTCACCACTTGTGTTTCTCTTGCGCTTGCTGGATGTATCTTTGCTAGTTTAGATCATCACACCTGTATGTACATGTAGAACTAACACCCACATGTTGTACTGTACCTCCCTGACCCTGACTGAGGTCATGAGCACAGACATGCCCCTTTCTAAATCCGGTTTGCATCCATTTGCTAATGCCCTCCCTGGCCTCTGTTCCCCTCCAAAGTTCCGTTTGCTTCTTTCATCCTTATACATTTAGATACTGTTGCTATGCCTTCCCAAGTTCTGTTTGGACTGACACAACAGACTTTTACCCTTTTTCATGACTCATGGCTCATGCAGACTCTATGATGATCTCCTTCCTTTTCGCCCTATAAAAGCTGCCATGCTTTACTCATTTCTTCAGAGCAGAGCAGAACATAACAGAACAGAACAGAGTCCCTCCTGGCAGATTGAGCCGGAGCAGTTGTATTCCTTTCCGAGTCCCTCCAGGCAGATTGAGCCGGAGCAGTTGTATACATAACTTCAGGCAGATTGAGCCGAATAACATAATATTAGTCAGTCTTCTTGTGTGTGCCTCCTGATACCACTCGGCGACCTATTACACTGGTGGCAGCGGTGGTTCAATTTTATAATTGCTAGATTCGAACCCACCTAGTATCTGTATTACACTGGCGGCAGCGGTGGTTAAAGTTAACGACGTTCCTTTGTAAGATTCGAACCTACCTATTACACTGGTGGCAGCGGTGCGTGAATTCGTCCCTGTAGATCTGTTTACGCAACTTCAGTCTTGTTATGTTGTTACCATCCTTAGTCAATCGTTGTCGTTAGTCTCGTTGTTAGTACCTTTTACATTGATGGCAGCCTCGAACGATGAGCGGAAAGCACCGTTAATTGGCCCCCACCGCGTTTCTAAACCCATGAGGACCTGAGAACGATGCAGAATCCCGGTTCGTCAGTCCATCCATACAGCAGATCGACGCCGTCACGTACGCATTTCGGCAAAATGGATCACCATCATTCTTCAGCGAGTTCCCATGCCCGGTATGTCCCTGGACTACAGCCACCGGTATATGTACGACCCAAGCGACGTCGGCCCTTTCGTCTTCGCCCATATTGCCGATTTTGCAAGCAGATTGGCCATGCCATAGCGTATTGCTATCGTCGTCGCGATACACGGCACATCTTCCCTTCAACCCAGGTATGTCACCATTCTTCCTCTATCCCTACTCAATCATCAACCCGGTCAAATGCAACTGTTACTAGTACACATGCCACCCCTATCGTGCAAGCTACGCCGCGTATTATGCAAGCTCCCCCATCCAGCAGTAGTTTCCATTCTGTCCTGATGCTCCTCGCTGCCATATTCCTCTCACTAACTCGTTCTGCTGCCAAAGTTGTTCCCCTGCTAACATCTCTCACATTTAGTGTGTTTGCTACACTACACGCGATACACAAGGCCCTCCACGTTCCTTCAGCCACTCCATCCCACAGACAATCCCACCATTCGACCAACAGCCTAGGACTCACAACCCTCCATATACCTTCATGTCCGTCCAGATACATGCAGTACCCAGTTCTAGATCGCTTAACATTCCGTCCCACTGAAACTCCCCTACAACCGCTTTCTCAAGTTTCTGACCACAAAGTTTCCTAGCTTTTCATCACCCATCCCGATCATGTCCACCCCGTAACGACCAAGCAATCAGATTCAGACCCAAAATACTGTATACCCTGCAAGCACGCACTCAAATAACCAGTCCATGTAACAATGATATACCGCCACATGATGTGCGAGTCTACTTTTCCCGTTGTACCGTCCCAGAGAGACGCGAATGAAGAACTGTTACCGTCCACAGTGACGCGATTTTACACATCCTTTTTTTACCGTCCGAAATTTTTCCCGCTCCACAGAGAGACAGGTTTACACACATTATACACACAGGGTCCCTACTTTATTATCCGTCTACCAAGCCATGCTGTCTCACCATAATGATCATTCGTACTCCTGCTTTAATAAAAACTTAATACTTTTGAAAAATCACGAGGGCGTGATTATCTGTAGGAAGGGAGGGTGTAGTATCCCGGCCTTGCTAGTACTGAACTGTAGCTGACTACTACATCTACATCTATTTTTACCTCTAATCATGTCACATGTGCACGTACACGCACTGCATGACTCTTGTCACTCCTTTGCTGACAAGCCTGCAAAGCTAATTATAATCTCACCACTTGTGTTTCTCTTGCGCTTGCTGGATGTATCTTTGCTAGTTTAGATCATCACACCTGTATGTACATGTAGAACTAACACCCACATGTTGTACTGTACCTCCCTGACCCTGACTGAGGTCATGAGCACAGACATGCCCCTTTCTAAATCCGGTTTGCATCCATTTGCTAATGCCCTCCCTGGCCTCTGTTCCCCTCCAAAGTTCCGTTTGCTTCTTTCATCCTTATACATTTAGATACTGTTGCTATGCCTTCCCAAGTTCTGTTTGGACTGACACAACAGACTTTTACCCTTTTTCATGACTCATGGCTCATGCAGACTCTATGATGATCTCCTTCCTTTTCGCCCTATAAAAGCTGCCATGCTTTACTCATTTCTTCAGAGCAGAGCAGAACATAACAGAACAGAACAGAGTCCCTCCTGGCAGATTGAGCCGGAGCAGTTGTATTCCTTTCCGAGTCCCTCCAGGCAGATTGAGCCGGAGCAGTTGTATACATAACTTCAGGCAGATTGAGCCGAATAACATAATATTAGTCAGTCTTCTTGTGTGTGCCTCCTGATACCACTCGGCGACCTATTACACTACCAACACTACCAACAATCAAACACTACCAACAATCAAACACTACCAACAATCAAACACTACATGTATTAGCTATTACTTATATAAGCAAGATGTGTTGGACACAAACTAAGGATAACATGTAACATGTTTGGTCCTTCTTTTTAAATTTAATCCTTGGCTCTCCATCCTAGTCTTACCCATATAATTATACATGTATTATGGATATGGATATGGATATGGATATGGATTACAAGCATCTAGTACCCGGCTACCTGAGTTTAAGCATGCATGTGTACCATACGCCTGTAGGGAGTAGTTCGAGTTGCTGCTGATTGCTCTGCTCTCCCTCCCCGTGCAGTTCAGTAACCCGCACGTAGTATCACAGATACATCGTATTCTCTCTCTCCCCCCGTTTACCCGCAGTTATTAGTA